TATTAATTTTAATATACTCAATTTTCCTTCCAAATGACAGCAAAAAATGTCAATATTTTTAAATATATATTTTTTTGCTGATTTAAAAACAACATTAAAAAATTATTTGTTGTGGACATTATTTGCAGTTTTGCCCTTTTGTTGTTTTAGCAGCCATCATACAAATACTTTTCTTTAATTTCTATGGTTATTATCTGTATTTCAGCAAAACAGGAAAAGTCTGTAAAATAACAGTTAGAAAATAATTATTTATATTATTTTTATTTAATAAACAGTTTACATTTCAAATAACAATAAATATATGTAGAAAAAAATATAGTTTTGCTGGTTTAAATATAGTAAAAAAAAAAAAAAAGAAAGAAAGAAAAGATGTAATTTAATGGTTAAGGAAATAATTGTTGTCTGTGAAAATATAAAAGTTTTTACCTGTTTGTTTCAACATGTACATCTATTTATTTGGTGATTTCTAAATATTATTTGTAATTTAACAAAACAAAGAAAATCTGTACAATAACAGTTGAAAAAAACAATGTATTTAAATCCTGAATATGTGTGTGTGTGTGTGTGTATGCTCTCAAATAACAGCAAATATCTGTTAAATGTTTGGCTGCTTTAAAAACTTTTTTTTTTTTTTTTTTTAAGTATAATTTTAAGGTCAAACGTTTTAAAAAAAATACAGTTTTGGGCAGTTTTTTTCTGTGATTTTATTAGTTCATATCTATAATTTTTTTTTTTTTTTAAAAAAAGGAAAACTAGTAAAGTAGCCGTAAATTGCTCAAGCAAATTACAGTTAAATTAATACATTTTTTAATTATTTTATTTTATTTTTACAGGGTAGAGTTCTGTCATAAATTAAACAGTCATCAACAGTTTCAGTAAATTACACTTTTGAAGTAGAACTATATTACTGTCATTCCACAGGACCACTTGTGCCAGCGTACAGCTCCATCTCTCCACGCTCTCTCCAGAACGTTACGAGCTGCTCCTGAACGCACCATGATAAAGTGCAGCGCTGGGAGCAGCGGCGATCGGAGGACCTGCCTCCGCCTCCTCCTCCTCCTGCTCCAGAGCAGCTCCGGTGTTTGGATCCAGTCGTCAGCGCGCTGTGAGCATGGAAGAAGCACCGCAGCGTGACAGGATGGACATCTGCGCTCCGCTGTGCGCACCGGCAGCTCCACTGTGCGTCTCCACCGCGGAAACTTTGCGCATCTTTTGACACAAACTTCCACAGCCGGAGGAGGAAAGAGCCTGGATGCAGTGACAAACCTCCCGCGTGTGTTTCTATGAGGCGGTGAACTTTTGCAGCTGGAGGAGATGCGTTTGATTTCCACGTGGACTCACCATCTCTGATTTTTTTTTTCTTCTCTCCCACAAACCGCGAAGCTGTCAGAGGACTGTGTGATCGGAGAAAAAAAAAAAAGACTGAACACAATGAGAACCCAATTTCCAAGCGTTGCTGTTCCCCCCTGATCATGTGCAACACGCCGCCGGACGCACGGAGCAACAGAGCAACAGAAAATCTCTCCTGAAACATGTTTATCTTGTGGGTCCCGCTGAGTTTGTTCCTCAGCTTCATCATTTCTCAGACGTGGAGCGTTCAGATGTCGTGGGAAAACTGGAACGCGGAGCTGCGCAACCGAGGCAACGAGTTCGACAAGCCGAGCTCTCAGCCGCACATCATTTTCATCCTGGTGGACGATCAGGGATTCCGGGATGTCGGGTATCACGGCTCCGAGATCAAAACCCCGACTCTGGACCGGCTGGCAGCGCAGGGAGTCAAACTGGAGAATTACTACGTTCAGCCGCTGTGCAGCCCGTCCAGGAGCCAGCTCATGACCGGCAGGTGAGCTGCACTACAGCCCCTGGTCCTCCTCTTTATGGAGTTTGGAGGATTAAATAAATTGTAAAGCCATGCATCTGTCAGGGGAAACTTTGAAATATATTCCTGAAGTCTCCTGTGACAATCAGGATAATGCAACATCCAAACGTGGCAAACAGTTTTAGGAGCTGCATCATGTTTGAACACTCTAATCCAAAGTGATGTGCAAATAATTACTAAATACTGCAACAATAATGAAGCAAAATCCTGGATTTTATAGGAGTTTAAATGCATTCATCCGCACACAATGGGCTCAACTTAATTATATATTTGCCTTTTGTTGTCTTCAGACATAGTGCACGTTAAGTTTAATTTAGAAATGGTGTCATAGTTTATCCAGCAGAGCAGCTCTGACTCTGGCAGCAGCACATGCAGTTGTGCAGGTGATGGTGCGGAGTCGAGCGGTGTCTTTATTGTAAATCTGTAACAGTGACTCCATCATTTTTCCTCTGTCAGTGTAACTCTAGCAGACTGTCCTACATTTCAATATTGCTATTTTTGTTTCCCTAATAATCAATATCAGCATCAGCTCCAGTAGTCCAGCATCAACCAGGCTCGACTAAAGAATTCACACTGACATAAATTAAACTGTGTGATGAATGACGTCCATCAGCTGTGTGATGTTACAGCTGTTACAGTCTCATTTCTTCCAGTATTTTCCATTCTTATCTTTCTTAAGTCAGTCGTACAAGTTCATCTTTTTCTTAGGAGCTTAGATGCAAGCGTTAAATAAGCCAGGTCTATACCCAATGATATCCTCATCCAAGTGGTTTCCTCCCAGGAAAACGTTTAGCAGAGGCGATAAGCACTGCTCTCTGTACTCGTCTTTGCCTTTTCCAGCTTGCATGAACTCTGGGGATTACTTTGATGGTCTGATTAGTTACTACAAAGTGAACACACAATGCGATCAGTCAGTACGTCACCTGCTGAGATGAAATGGAGCCGTCAGAGGTCTAGAGTTGCAGCAGACATCAAAGCTTTCAATAATCCTTGAAATCTTATTAACAGAGCAGCTGAAATGACCACCAGCGCTCTTATTACAGGCCTCAGATTCAGCCATGGAGACCATAATGACTTGGTAAAAAATTGTAGAGAGAAGTTGATGCTTTTTAAAAATGGGGAGTCAGGGGTTTTAGTTAGCCAGCATCTAGTGGTCATCGGTGGTATTACACTTCAAGCTGTTTCTGCGCTGGCTTTGAGTTGTGGTAGCTGTTGAATGATCAAATGTTGCAAATCTAAACTCTCTGGACCTGCACATCAAGCATGCTGATTGGTTAATTCTTCACTCATCGCTTCAGTGGTGCTCTTGGTCAGATTGCGCTGTCAGAAGCCTTTCCGTCTGTCTAAAAGTTAAGAAACTGTGCCATCTCCAACACGAACAACATCAAAACCTTATTCTCATTGAAGAAACAGTCGTCACATCTTCACTCAAGGTCCAACTATTAGCTTTTTCTGGGGATTTTACATTTTACAAGTCACAGTCTCCTTTGAAGTACAGACTTTACTATACTACCCCACAACAGAGGTTTTTAACCCTTACTGCGACCTCGCTGCAGTTCTTCAAACATGGTGCTCTTGGAATCATAACTCACATCTGAACACACAGACCTGACGTTTTTACATTCAGCATGACTTACTCTTACACAGGGTGTCAGTATTTCTGATGTCCACTGTGAATAAACATCCATAAATCCACCTAGAAATCATAAAAATGATGGATGCTGTAAGCTCAGCCTAACAATTACCACATTTTTAAGTTTTCTTCAGCATCACAGTCACCCAGCTGTCTGTACATTCATGGGTACACTGCAGACAGGGGCTGCTAATAGCTACTTTGGTACATTTTATTGGTGCCATTTTGCTAAACTGTAATCACAATAATGCCCAAACTTACAAATTATGGGAATTGTAGTTTATTTGTAGTTTGATAGCGGGTCAGATTTGTGCCACATCTCCCCTTTGTGAGGGGCATAGTGTTGGATTGTGGCAACTTCTGCCCCAGAATAAGCTAACAAGGCCTTGAGTCAACACTTTTTTTTTTTTGCCAAACTAATTTTTAACTGTTTCCTAAATGAGGGAGCAGCAGCGTTGCCTGAGCAACCGCTAAGTGTTTCAGTGGGCAGCAGGAAGCTGTAAAGAGATATTAGAGGGCGAGGCTGTTTAATGTATACAGTATCACGGGGGGTCAATTGTGGTCTGGCTTTGTAGTTTGCTTATAGAATGTTTCACATCAGCAGTTTTCCTCTGTGCACATGCAGCTCTGCAGGGCAGCTCCACCATCTGTTCCACTCCTTAGCAACAAAAAAAAAGGCAGGAGACTTGCTGGGCATCAATGTTTTTATGAGAAAATAATGAGGAAAGTGCAACCTCCTCCTGCAAGCTGCTCCCATCTCTGAGTGGAGCCTCAGCTATAGCATCCATGTGGAAATGTAGGTGTAGATTCAATTAGGTTTCCAGGACTGTGTTCCTCAACGGATGCTTGCAGAGAAGCGTGTGTGTGGTGGAGTTTGAGCGAAAGAACGCCATCCATCTGCGCTCTAGCCTTCAAACATCAGCTGTCTGTGTCAGCTGGACGCTCACTAAAGCTCCGGCAACAAACTTGTTTCAAGTCTTCCTGGCTGACTCGCAGAGACTTGTCAAGACATCAGAGCGCGTGAAGGACGGAATCCAAAACATAAGCGCTTCACAACAGCCCGATTCCGTTCTTGCAGGCTGCTTAGACCGGTTACCGTGGCAACCACCTGCATCTGAACCCGTCTGCATGCTCACTGTATAAAATCAGACTCTATTTCTTTTTTTCTGTGCTCGCTCTGTTTTTCTCCACTGTCACCCAGACGGTTCCTAACTCCCTAAATATTCCCACAGGACTGCGGAGTCAAAATAAATATGGCTAATGCCAATTGTCTCTGGTTAATGCTATCATTGTTTTTAAGAAGGATATCTTTGTGAGGCAAGACTGGAACCTGGATTCGAGCAAATCCAAACTCCTGGAAAGACAGATTAGTGTCTTGCCCTCTCTCTTCTGCCTCAGCTGTAACTCAACACCTGCACAGTGGAGAGAAAACTACAGTTTCCACATGAGGAAACATGGGAAAACTTGGGGAAAACCAGTGTTTTCTGAGCCAACATGGGGTTATTTGACCTTTCAGTATGTCTGATATGGTGTTTATAGCATCCTATATCCGTGTTTACAACTCGTCATCTCTAAACCTACAGTTACTGGAAACCTTTTTATTGTTGATAAATACCATTCCTACTAACCCTCATAACTGTACACACCCTGTTCTTGATCACTATCACATTTGAAAGTGATTGTAGTGGTTGTAACACTGAAAGAAAAAAAGATTTTAAAGAATGATCCATATAAACATGGTCACTAACTCCAGTGAGGAGCTGTGCTGGCTTAGTTATGCTCAAGGAATCCATACATTTACCTTTCACACCTGTTTTCCCCATTCAGGGTCATTGAGTTAAATCTATGCATTCTGGAAGCTATCCCAGACTGAAAAGCAGGTCACTGGACAGGAAAGTAGTTTGCTAGGTCTTATATGTGAAGGGATATGTGGTTGTAGAACCAGAACCAATCGATTAAAAGATGTCTGTAGTTTTTAAAAAATGCCTAAAACATATAGTAGAATAGGATAAGCTTACTTACAAGCCCTTTGGCAGCGTGTCACTTCACATAAGTCTATGAATTGCTAGCAGGTCAACTGAAAAAGGTATGCTCCCTTCTTTGAGTTTTTTTTTTTCCTTTTAGGGATTTAAATAGTTTTAAGAAGGATAAAGGCAGAATACTATCCAATGTGTATTAATGCAGAGGGAAAAATGTTGTGCTCACTTTGAATCAGGTTTCAATTTAGTAAAATACCTGTTTATGAACCTTTTACTCACATCCTCTGTTCAGATTTTTGCCTCCGTCTCTGACACGGTCAGAGAAAAAAAAGAGACTTGGTATTGTAAGGCAGCTTTGGTGCTCCAAAGACATCACAATAATTATAAAATGCAATATTTCCAGGACAATAGGGCCAACCTTAAGTCTGTTATTGAAAAATCTCCTGTTCAGTATGTTAAAGTAAGAATCTGTGGCGTTTTTGATGATTTGAGGACGTGTGCTTTGCGTCAGTCTACCTATCCTGTAGAAATGCAACAAGGAGTTCATCATAAGGTAACTCTGTTTAGTGCACACTAAACATCAGTGATCTATTTGATATTAACTGAATTCTAAATCCGTAGTCCTCTAGTCCTGAAACCCTTCATGGGAACTGCTGATCTAAGATACATATACCCATTGTTTATTTAAAAGCCGAGCAGGCCCACGTTAAAATATACCCAAACACCAGATTTAGATGTTATCATACCATTCAACAAGTGTTACCATTATTATAATACATGCGGGCCAGTAGGGACCTCTTCCACCTTTTAGCATCTCAGTTGGTTTGTATCCAATGCTGCTCTATGATCATCTCATGTAATGGCAGTTGAAGCGCGATTTTTTAGGTACAAAGAGAAACAAAAGACTTTTCATTCATTTAACATCTTAAAATCGTAGAATCATATTTAGACCTAAGTCGGTCAAGTTTCAGCACCAAAACTGCTTGGCCAGGTTGGGAAAAGGGTCATGGTTTGTGTTAACCAGTAGCTGCATCCAGTTTAACTTAGTTATCTCCATATTTTTCTTTGCGTGCACCTAAAACACCTTCCGAGAATGCACTGTGGTATCAGTAACAGCAGAGCCCTGGAAGTTATAAGCTGGAGCTACCGTAGATCAGATATCTCCCAACACCCTGTCGCTGGTTCAAAGTTTGTCCCTCTACTGACCACTACCGATGAGTACTCAACGCTGCTGACGGAAAGCACTCAACACGCCTTGCAGTTTTTGGAAGCTGCTCCGATCCAGTTGTTCCACAATGATTTGGCCCTGGTCAGAGTCTTTACACCTGTCCATTTTTCCCACAGCCAACATG